TGGCATCTCCATAATAGGGCAAAGTTCTGTCAAAGGTTGTCACTGCCAATGGTGGATCTGATGTGTCTTGTATCTCTTGAATGGATTTGAAGCCTGCTGCCGTCAAGAAGTGTTTGAAGCACAAATGGCCTGTTAAACAGGGTTTTAAAAACATTGTCCTGGGGGGCGTGGCTTAACAGTATAGACACATTTTCTGTGAGCTCTGCACAGTCTCATCTTATGCCTTCAGGTCTCATGCCAAGTCTAAGCCTGGCTCCCTGCAGATATTTATTTTGCCATCAGGAGCCAAATTAATCCAGTGCAGCCCACCTTGAGTGATGCAACCCCTGCCTTATCCGACAGTGGATTCCTGTAAGCAGACTCCTCAGCTCCGATCCCTGGATCCTTCTTTGGTCCCTCCTCGAGTTGTGGACCCTGTACCGCCTTGCACAGTTGAGAGTGAGTTCTGGGCCAGCAATGACTGTGCACCCTTCTGTGGTAGACCTTGGGTCTGGTTCCGCTGCATTCCTAATCATTCGAGAGCATTACAATAGGATCACCAGAAACCAGGGAACTGCGTAACATTCTTTCAGGAATAGCAACATTATGGGGGGAATTTATCAAAACGAGCAGACAAAAACTGGAGCAGCTGTTCATGGCAACCAATCAGCTTCTCTCTTCAGTTTGTTCAGTTAAGATTTGAAAATGAAAAAGAGAAGCCGATTGGTTGCCATGCACAACTGTTCCAGATTTTGATAAATTCCCCTCTATGTTTCTATCGCTGAAAGTAAAAAAAAAAGCCAATATACATCGGGATTGCCTGTCCGAGTGACGGCAAGAGCTCTGCTCTCACTCTCAAACACCTGATTAATGAAAGGGAGTGTCTGAAAAATGTTAACTCTTTCATTAATGGGTGCATCTATACTGAGGCATCCATTAATGAATGGTAACCGCTGATTCTCCGCGGTTACCAGCATTGCAGAGCTGCAAATAACTGGTCACGTACAGTGTACATGGCCAGTCATATGGGCACTTTGTGGCGGGATGTACGAAGGGGTTAACATGCTTGCTGTTACTGAAACCTGGCTTCAGGAATCTGACTCTGCTTCTCTTGCTGGTGGCCATGGTGGCTTCCAGTGAACACTCTCACGCAGACCCAGGGGACCGAAAGGAGGTAGAGTGGGAATCCTATCCCCACAATGCACTTTTCAAGTTCTGCCTACACTACCCTCTCCTTACCTATTTTCTCTAGTTTACCTGGGGATTGCTGTAATTTATCAGCCTCCTGGACCAGTATCTCACTTTGATGACTTCTCTGCCTAGCTATCCTGCTTTCTCTCCTCTGAATTATCCACTTTCATTCTTGGAGACTTTAACATTGCTATTAACGTTAACACCCTGGCTACCACTCAACTTCTCAACCTAATCTCTTCTTTTGACCTAACACAATGGACACACACTCTGATGGCAATATACTAGATCTTGTGTTCTCTTGAATCTGCACTCCTTTTCCTCTCTCAGACCACAACCTTGTCGGTTTTTCGCTCACCCTGTCCCTAACCCGGAATCCCCCTAACCAGCACACTGTTACCCGGAGAAACCTTTGCCACTTCAACCCTTCTCCACTCTGCTACTGACTACCTATATGACAAAATCTCACCTCTGTCCTGCCCTCACCTGGCTACTTCTGTCTTCAACAGCACACTCTCATCCTCCTAGACACCTTGGCTACATGCAAACCTAGTCTGCCGCCACTACAACTATGGCAAACAGAAGCTACCAGAAAGCTAGCCATGCTCTTGACGAAGTGTGGCATAAAACTAGGTCCCTGTAAGTGTGGCATAAAACTAGGTCACCCCGTATAAAGCTGCCCTCTTAAAATATAATTCCTTCCTCTGTGCTGCCAAACAGACATATTTTGTCACTCTAATTAACACACGCATCCAGTCTTTGTTAACTCTTTACTACTTTTAAATCTCTACTATGTCTCCACCCAATAACTCACCCGCCTCCAATGAGTTGTTCACTGCCCCAATAACTGTTTGCTGTCCCTTAGGGGCCAGCTTCACCCTTGACGCGTGGATCCAACCTGGGGATTCCTCTGTTAGGTTCTTGTGACCGCTAGCACCATTGTAGGCACCATTGTAAGGCGGGTCCACAGTTTGGTGTCAGTGGAGCGCCTTCACCAATACCACATCTCCAGGCTTAATGGGATGAGTAGGTTGCTCTGACGGTAAAGGTAAAGAGAGAGACATCACCATAGATGCTATTCAATGTATTATTTGTTCCACATATGTCTCCTGAATCTGCTGCAAGTCCCCTTCAATTAAATTGGTGGACCTTTAGTGCAAGGTGTGGGGAAAGGTCTTCCCATTAAAATATCAAAGGATGACATGCCAATAGTTTTATTAGGAGATATTCTGATCTCAGCCAACACGGCTGGCAAGTAATCTAGCCATTTAGCAAATTGTCCTTAATATCCTCTCTACAATTCCTGAGCTCTATGGGTGATAACGGATGTGAAATTTCCAGCCAATGCACAACAACTTGACTACATTGTGCAACACCTGTGAGATAAAGGCTGGACCATTGTCTGTATCAATAGAGATTAGGCACCCATACCTTGGTATAATTTCCTTACATAATATTTTAGCCACTGTTCAGCTATCCTCTCAGGTGGTAGGGAACAACTTGACTACATTGTGCAACACCTGTGAGATAAAGGCTGTATCAATAGAGATTAGGCACCCATACCTTGGTATAATTTCCTTGCATAATATTTTAGCCACTGCTCAGCTATCCTCTCAGTTGGTAGGGAACGCTAAAATCCTCTATGTGATAGTTTGGAGGTGACAGGTTCTCTTTATGGAACCTGCCCTCCAACACAGAACTGATTGATGTTCTGTGTATCAAAGAATCATTTACAATATTGCTATTGTGATGGAGTGTGTTTAGAAAGGACTCAGATATATGTACTTAATAAATATTTATTTAATTATAATAAAAAAATCCCATAGTTCAATATAAAACAATCCACTTGTAGTAACATTCATATAGTTCTCCAGATGTCAGTGCTCTTGACGAAGTGTGGCATAAAACACGGCTATTGCTGATTCATATACTTAAAATCCATATTACAAATTAGTACATCCATATAACTTTTACATATTCCATATATTCTTAACAAGTATATCATTATTTGATGAGTCCCCTACGCATTACGCCCACAACGGCTTCTTCAGGGGGGTATATTTGTTTTGTTTGTTTGTATCTATCGATTTTCAGCAATAATCTGTCTTTTTGAGGAAAAACACACATATAATACAATATCAGTCAGTATTCAACCATGAGATCAAAAATCAGCATATAGTATATTGTAGCTCAAAAATCTTCAATTATTTCCTACTTGTACATACAGTCCCTTATTTATCATTAGTCAATATATTATATTCGTTATTCTTCATTTGTCAATAGTAGGTTCACATTGATATAATCTATGGAAACAAGATATCCCATGTTTGAATTTGTCCATCAACACTCATTCATCCATAGTGCATATATTTGATCATTTTACCATTAGATTGTTCAGTATATGTGCAAAAATATTTCATAATTTTTCCCTTTTTTCCCATGATATATGTTTTAATTGTAATTCTTGGTCTAGATATATAACAGGGTATGACATCATTTGGGTGGGTGTGGCATCCCTTCAGGCTTCGTCTAACTCTTTTCCTTGATGTATCTATGTTGCAAAGCAACCTTAGTCGCTCATTACGAGCTGAATTCCATTACTTACTTAGCATTGTTCTATTTGTATATCTTGCCTGTCATTTTGGATGTCATCTGGTTCCGTCGTGTTTATAGTCTCCCCAGTATCAATACACAATCTTTTAGAGGGGCCATAGTTATAGAATGTGATATATATATATATATCATTTTTACAATTTTAAATACATATATATACATATTATTCTCGCATTCATGAATTTTTGTTTCCTGCTTAACCTCTATAATTATTTAATACATTCATCTAGTTTCATGATTTCCACAACATATATACATTTTAATATTTTTTCATCCTTCATAGCTTCATAATTATCTTTATATATATTTTTATTTTCATATACCCGCAAAAAGCAACAGGTGTCTCCATATATCTATATCTTTACATTTTCTTTTTGTATCTGATCTAGATTTTTACCCATTTTTTCTTTTATCTTTTATATTTATTATTTATTATTTTATTTATTTGTTTTGTTCCCTTTCTTTCCCTTCCTATTTTCCTGATCGATTTTGCAATCCATATATCTGACATAACCGTCTGGTATATTCATTTTTGTTCTTTTCTTTTAGTCATGTATATATCACAAGTTTTTCTTTTGTCTTAGATCATGTTTGTTATACGTTGTTTTTCTAATTATATACTTATTTTTGTTTATTTTAAATCTATGTATGCCTTCTTGGCTCAATGTGTATTGATGAAATGGGCATATTTTCCCCATTAATCCATCCCATGATAAACTCCATATGTTTGACATTCTTATATGCTCTCTTATATGCTCTCTTTCTTTATTATTTTTATTTTTGATAAAGGAACGTATATTGTTACACCTTAAGTGATTCCGGGAGTACGTTGATTCAGGTAGGTATTGTGATCACAACCCTCCTGTCTCATTCTTTGTAATTCCAGTAATAGCACTTCAGTCCACACCTCCTAATTATTGAGTTTCAAAGAATCATTTACAATATTGCTATTGTGATGGAGTGTGTTTAGAAAGGACTCAGATATATGTACTTAATAAATATTTATTTAATTATAATAAAAAAATCCCATAGTTCAATATAAAACAATCCACTTGTAGTAACATTCATATAGTTCTCCAGATGTCAGTATACTGTCTCTAACGGCTATTGCTGATTCATATACTTAAAATCCATACTACAAAGTAGTACATTCATATAACTTTTACATATTCCATATATTCTTAACAAGTATATCATTATTTGATGAGTCCCCTACGCGTTACGCCCACAACGGCTTCTTCAGGGGGGTATATTTGTTTTGTTTGTATCTATCGATTTTCATAATCTGTCTTTTTGAGGAAAAACACACATATAATACAATATCAGTCAGTATTCAACCATGAGATCAAAAATCAGCATATAGTATATTGTAGCTCAAAAATCTTCAATTATTTCTATTTTCTACTTGTACATACAGTCCCTTATTTATCATTAGTCAATATATTATATTCGTTATTCTTCATTTGTCAATAGTAGGTTCACATTGATATTCAAACATGGGATATGTTGTTCTGTGTAGTTCCTGACAGCTGAGACAGGTGGCGCTGTCATTACAGCGCCACGGTCTCAGTGATGGCAGACGAAGAAAGAAAGTTCTTTTGCTAAACGTATCTACAATGACCAAAAGTTACTTAAGACCTCCTCTGGCCACAGGCATGTGTGTAAAATCTATCTGCAATTCCTGAAAAGGGCCACTAGATGATGTTCTTTACCTATCCTTTTCCCTTGAACATTATTTCTTGCACATGTTAAACATCTGGACAATTGATCCTGAACCATAGTCCCTAGATATTTCTTTTTAAGTATACATTTTTATTGAACATTTTTCAGAATACAAAACCCGAATAAAACAGTAGTAAAGCCAAGTACAGATCATAGCTATATAGATGCAGATGAACAAGACATGGGTATCTCAGTATACAATATATACAGCAATATGTTGGAGATCAAGTTACAGGTCATACCGGGGATATATTATGGGATATATTAACAGATGTATATTAGCGATCTAATCATCTTGTACAGAACAGATAGTCAAAACATACTCTTGAATAATGCAACAAGTAAATTGTCGTGATCGGATTGGAAGAGAAAGGACAGAATAGTCCCTAGATATTTTATACAAAAATGTTGTTTTAATGATTGCAAAGTTAATTTCCTCCCCTTACAGTACATATATGGCAGATGAGGTTTAATGTCGACAAATGCAAAATTATGCACTTTGGGCCTAAAAATAAAAAAATGGGTTACACAATTATGGGTATGCCACTAGGGAAGTCAGAAATGGAGAAAGACTTGGGGGTCATAGTAGACCATAGACTAAATAATAGCTTACAGTGCCAGGTTGCTGTAAGCAAATCTAGTGTGTCCTGTATCAAAAAGGGAACGTTTTGCAGGGATACACTTCATTGGTTTGGCCTCACCTGGAGTATGTGGTCCAGTTTTGGGCACCAGTACACAGAAAGGATGTCCTGGAGCTGGAAAGAGTCCAGCAGAGGGCAACCAAACTCATTAAGGGAATGGAGGACCAGAACTATGAGACAAGGCTACTAAATGTAAATATGTTCACGCTGGAAGTAAGGAGGGGATATTATTTTCATGTTCAACTTCATGTTTCTTGTTCAACGGTCAAAGCAACATTACCAACAAACTCTTTACGCTTAACTCCATAACAAAGACCAGAGGCCACAACCTAAAATTGGTGGACAAAAAATTCCAACACAAGGGGCGAAAGGGGTTCTTCTCAGTTAGGGTTTGAAACTCTCTGCCACAGGCAATGATTTCAGCAAAGAGTGTGGAATCATTCAAGAAGCTTTTGGACGATTTCCTGAGTTACCCTAATGTACAGGGGTACAGATGACACAGGGACCTATACATACACACACAAAAGGTTGGACTTGATGGACTTATGTCTTTATTCAACCTCAAATACTATGTTACACACACACACACACACACGCCTGATCTTCAGTAGAGACCTGTGCGGTCTCTTCTCTTTGGAAGTCCAAGTACCACTGACCTGTCACGTCCAAAACAAGCCTGTTGACTTGCATTGGACTTGAGGATGCTGAGAGACATTCAAAAGGCGAAGCAGTGCTAAGCCTCTCCTCAATTCTCAGCTAACAAACTACAGAAAACCCTGGTAGAAACAATTTGGAAAACCTGAGTATCAAATAACAAGCACCTGAAAGCACTTAAATATCTTACTTGAATAGAGTATGATTTAGTTACTAAACTGAACAGTTGAAATAAGCATTTAACATTGTTATATGTACAGAAGGAGCGTTTAAAATTTTGATATCCCTTCCTTTCACACTATCTGCACAGGCACAGATCCCCTCCTGTTTGGAGAGGTAGGGATTGGATGCCACTGCTGTGACATCCGTGTCCGGCCACTTTTTTACTTACACTTTTTTAAATGATCGGACCTCAGGTCGATCTATGGGGAATCGGATGTAAACGGATATGTGTCCGTTTACATCAGATTACTTATCTGGCACAATCAGGTCCGGCAAAACGGAAACACTTCGGTTTGTTTTTCCAGACCTGGCCAGAGTTGGGGGCAACCGGGTGTGAATGGAAATGGATTCAGCTGCCTATAGACTGGTCCACCTGAAAAACTGACAGGCAGACCAGACCATGTGAAAGGGGCCTTATGGTATAACTGTAAGTATCATACTTTTTTCTTGAGCTGGATACAATGAACAGCCAACAAACATTACTTGCCTATCATAGCACCTTCAGCTCTCTTAAATTTTTTAAAGTCTACTAGCAATTCCCAGTATTTTAAATACAACCACATTAGTCTACCATTCTCTTGCTTATTGATGTTCAACAATACAGCACAATGGGTGTCATGCTTAAAAATGTCTACCAAGCCTTCTGACATTCCTAATTCGACTGCTACTGGATTAGTTGCAGCTTTAACAAGCAGGGTTTTTTCTATGTCTATTCTCTTTTTCCTAGGTGCTACAAAGCTACAGTAAATGTCCTGTCTTTCTTTGAGGGCTTCTTCAAATTCATTGAGTAAGCATTTTGCTTTTGTCTGCCACTTATTTTCTTTTTCAAGGTAGCTTGCGTACAAAGCTCCTGCTGCTCCACTCTTTTGGGCTGACTTTACTTCTTCTTTTAACTTGTCTTGCTCATGTTCCAAGAGCTTCCTCTCTTCAACTAGTTTCTGACTTTGAGAAATGAGAGCTTTACGGTAACTCAGTGTCCGATTCTTTTCTTTTTCAAGCTCAATTTGCAAATGAGCCACTGTACGTCGGTTTTCAACAATAATGTCTTTATATTTACTTTCCAGGTCTTTCTGGACATCCTTCACTTTCTGCTGATACTCTACTTTGGCTTTTCCAATTTGTTTATCAGACTCCTTTGACCAGATCCATCCTGTAGATGAGAAGAAAGTTAGAGACATATACTTTAAAGTAGAGGTGCACCGAAATGAAATTTTTACAACCAAAACAAAAAAATGTAAGGCCAAAACCGAAAAAATGTCTAACCTTTTCAAATGTTTTATTTTTATTAAATATTTTTATTGTTTTACATTATTGTTGGGGGCTTCCAGGAAATATCAGAGGTCTAAACACACCCCTTTTAAAATAGAAAAAGATTGAGGGTGCAGAGTCCTCAATCTCTTTTTCTGCATCCCCTGGATGCAATGAACAGGAACAGGAAGCCTTGACTGAATTAGTTATGAATGAACAGGAACACTGTTCATTCATAACTTGTGGAGATAGTCCACAATAATGAATGAACAGGAAGTGATGTAGATCACTTCCCATTCATTAATAATTGGGGACGCATTAAAACATACTATGTCCTCAATTATGTAGCGATCACTGAGTGCTTGTACCCCGCTCTTCCTCCTGACTCACTGTCACAGGAGGCTGAGCGAGCGGTGCAGGGAGGAGAGCTCGATCTACTCTGACATCTGGCTCCTCCTCCGCATCACCAGCCCGACCTCCTGTGACAGCTGTCTCCACCGCACACCGCCGAGATGAGCTCTCGCAAATAAATTTTCAAAATGAGCCTGCTTGTTTATGGTTTGGATTTCTGCATGTAGCTCCCCTCCCTGAACTCGTTTATTTCCAGAGCAAGTATGTTAGAAGTATGTGTAAAACAACTGTTCTAGCCGTTGAAGGCCAATTGCTAAAAGTGCGAATTGAGGAGAGGGAGTACAGTGAACAATAATGACCGTGGATTATAGATTTCCATCCAAAAGGGCTGTATCTCCATATGTGAGCAATAGAGCCTATATGTCCTCAGTTACGCCAGCATTGTGGAGAAGACGAAGCGAAGATCTTGGCTAACCTTTTAGAGTATAGTGATTCAAACATTTGGAAGTTTTCAAGGGCCAAGAGATGGTTTTGTGCCATTGTTCAGTGGAGAGTGTGAAATTAAATTCTTTCTTCCACCAGAGCATAGTCGGTAGTTTAGCTAGCAAGTTTGGGACATTAAACAGTTGATAAAAAAGAAATACGTTTACGTATTGGGGAGGAGCAATGCGTTGTCCCTAACTTGTAAGGATGTCAAGTAGTGTCTATCCCTGTTAAGGATTTTTATAAATCTCTTCGGATCAGAGTATGTTTGTCTAAGGGTTTCAAACGGGATTAAGGAGGTATTCGAGAATAATGTATCCAATTGCGTAAGATTAGGTGCATCCATGGGGGCAGGTGTATATCATCCAGAATGATTTACAAGGTGGACAGCGGGATATGTTGTAGTTTATGTTGGTGATTAGCACGTGTTGCAGACCCTAGAGAGTTGCCCACCTTCATGGTTGCATTAATCCTGGCTAAAAAGAAACTTTCAGGATTTTGATTCAGAATAGAGGAACACAATAAGGTCTGCAGCGAGTATCGTACTTTCTATGGAATTCCATATTTTGTCTGGGGAGGATGACCGCCAATGGGTTGCTTAATCTAAAATGGTAGCTTTGTAATATTTACAGACATCTGCCAGCGTGTTTCTTGGGTGTATATAAACAAGTTTTATGAATACGGTGTGCCTTGCCTCCCCATATAAAGGAGTCTGTTATGTGTTGGAGCTTTCTCAGGTATGAGGATAGAATAGGAATTGGGAGGGCCTGAAAAAGATAGAGTATGTCGGAGCAGGAACATTTTAGCTAAATTGATTCTTTCAGTCCACAAGTGGCCTTGGTCAGATCTTTGCATAATTCCGTAAGTTTTGTCAAAAGAAGGCTATAAAAAGGCCTTTTTTTTTAGCAGAAGGAGCCCATGAGAAGAGAGAGGAGGAGTCAATGTGGAGTTTAGTTTGACTAGATATTTTAATTGGCAACATATGTAAGTTGGAGTGATTAACTGTATAAAAAGAAATGTTACCAAAGTCTGTTAGAATCCTCTGTACTGCTAAACATAGGGTTTGTTTAGAAATATAATAACATCGCCTTTTTTGCTGACCAATAAAGAGAACCTGTCACCTCCAAAAGCTTGTGGTGATGACAAGTGAAAAAAAAAAAAGTACAACAATAATAAAATAAATAATTAAAAATGTAAATACATAAACATTAAAAATAAAATAAATATTAAAAATAAAACATTTTACAAAGTAAATTTTTTTTTAAAAACAACCCTGCTGCACCCACCATCTGCATGCGAATAAACACATTGTGTGTGTGTGTGCGTGTGAGCAATCGTGCACAAAATCGTGAGGATGGACGGGCGGTCAGATTCACACACCACCGCCGATCGCCCTTGCAGTGCCATTATTTGTCGCGCCAGACAGATTGTGCGGTTTCCCGCCGCAATACTGCCCGTGCAATCGCGCATAGTCGCAGTTGAAAACACCAGACAGTGCGTGTCACGAAAAAAAGGTACACGTACCTTTTTTTCAGCGATTACCACGCGGATGTAACTCCATTGAAATCAATTGGGCCGCACGGCAACCGCTGTATGCAACTGCAATCGCACACGATTGCCCAAATCTGCACCACCCCTAAAAGGGTAAATTCACTTTTCCAAGTAATTTGGGAAAAAGGAATTACCCGCACAAATCTGGCCTCCTGTCACAGAGCAGCCTGTAGCTCAAGCTTGTCGCTTGAACTTTACCTATTTTTCCGCGGATGCCGCACAATTTGGCCCCAATGGTGGCCCATTTGGCTCTAATGGTGTCGCGCAAAATCGCAGTATAAATGCAGTATAAATTTATCTTGTGGAACGTTCGGGGCTTGAACTCCAGCCCCAAGCGCTCCCTAGTATTCGATTTTCTCTTTAGGCTTAAGCCACATGTGGTGATTCTGCAGGAGACCCACCTGCTGGGATCTAGGATACTGGCACTGAAAAAACACTGGGTCGCCAAATCCTTTAATGGTGTATACTCATCATATTCACGTGGGGAGTCTATTCTACTGGCTAAATCGCTTAATGCTGATGTTGATGTTCTTCAGGTTAAAACTGACCCACACGGGAGATTTGTTATCATTCACATGGCTATAGATGGGACTCCTTTGACATTGGCCTCTGTTTATCGTCTCCCCCCCCCCAGGTGTGGACGTTCTCCATACGATAACTAATGCTGCCCTGACCATGCCCACTGCCCCCTTGATGATCATGGGCGACTTTAACATGGCCCCTAACCCCCTACTAGACCGAATGGGAGGCGTGGGGTGACTCAATAGTAATTTCACCGACTGGATCCAGGGAATTGGGCTTCATGATGTGTGGCGCTGGAAGTGGCCAGACACTAAGGCCTATTCATGCCACTCTGCTACACATAGGACGCTTTCCAGTATTGACTTGGCATTTGTGAACCCGACAATTCTTCCGAGGCTCACGGGGGTGCGCTTTCTCCCTAGGGGGATCTCGGATCATGCCCCCTTATTAGTGGAGCTCAGCTGGGGCAATTCATTCTCTTCCAGAGTGTGGAGAATGAACTCCCATTGGCTGTCTGATCCTTCTGTGGAGACTGCCTGTTCCCAGGCTATTGGCTACTACTGGAGTGACAATGCCCCTGTGACTTCCTCTTCCCTTAAATGGGAAGCCTTCAAACCCACTCTTAGAGGAGCGTTCATGGCCGCTACGGGGGCAGTCCGTAAACTCAAGGGGGAGGTAGCACTAGCATTGGAGGGTGATATGGGAGAGGCTGAGAACACCTACGTCCTAGATCCCACTTCATCAGCTTAAAGCGATTGGATGGGGAAAAAGCGTAAATATGATTTGTTCCTACTGGAACAAACCAAAAAGAAAATGCTACATACCCAGCAAAAAATATTGGAGTTTGGGAACAAGGCGGGTAGATTATTGGCATACTTTACTAAACCTGACTTCAACCCTACCTCTATTCCACACATTGTCTCCCCCTCGGGGTCCCTGGTCACTGATACCCAGGACATTATGGATGCATTCCTGTCCTTCTATAGAGATTTATACTCATCCAGAGCCCAATACACGGACGCGGAGCTGGGGAACTGTCTCAGATCTCCCGCCCCTGTCTGCCCCCTCAAGCTAGAGGAGCTGGATCAACCGCTCACTACTGACGAAATTTAGTTGGCGGTTGCCCAGTTCCCTACTGGGAAGACCCCGGGGCTTGACGGGTTCCCAGTAGAATGGTACGCTTCTTATATGGAAGAAATGGGGCCACATTTACTGGACACTTACGAGGCATTTGGGCTGGGTATACTCCCCCCGTCTATGAGAGAAGCTCTTATAGTCTTGATTCTAAAACCGGGTAAGGATCCGACTAAACGTGACTCATACGTTAATTAACGTAGACGCAAAAATCCTAGCCAAAATTCTGGCGATACGCATTAATAAACACATTCTGTCCCTTATTGGCAGTGATCAGGCGGGATTCATGCCAGGCCGCTCCACCAGGATGAATATCCGCAGACTTTTCACTAACCTCCACGACTGAAGGTAGAGCATTGATCTCACTTGATACCCAAAAAGCCTTCGAGAGTGTTGAGTGGCCATATCTACTGAGAGTACTGGAGGCATATGGGTTTGGCTCCCAAATGATCCGTTGGATAGAGATTCTGTATAACGCCCCAGTGGCCAGATTGCGCATCAACAGAGAAGTTTCTGACCCGTTTTGTATCTTTCGGGGTACAAGACAGGGTTGTCCTCTCTCCCCTATCCTTTTTGCCTTGGCAATTGAGCCCCTGGCGATTCGGATACGGGAGTCTGTGTCTATACATGGCTTGAAGATACGTGACCTGGGAGGAGCGCATCTCTTTATATGCTGATGATACGCTAATTTGTCAGAACCGAATGGCTCCCTATGCCACCTCCTTCAGTTATTGGACGTATTTGGAGCCTTTTCGGGCTTCAAGGTCAACTGGGACAAAATCAGTCCTTTTCCCCCTGGATGATGCCACAGTGGCGAATATTCATCCTATGTCCACGCTACGGGTGGTGAATGACTTTAAATATCTGGCTGTTAGGGTTCAGTTGCCCCTCTCTGGCTGTTAGGGTTCAGTTTGGCCCCGACTATTGACTCTCTTCATTTGAAGACTAAACAGTGGATGAACCTGGCACTGGACCTTATGGGAAGAGTCAATATCATTAAGATGAACTTCCTCCCCAAGTTACTGTATATCCTAGCGAATGCCCCTTGCTATGTTCCAAAAAGTTATTTCCGTAAAATTGACTCTATTTGCACTGGGTTCCTGTGGGGGGG